GCACCCCCCCCCCCCCCCCCCCCAAGGTGCCCCCCTGCCATCGGTGCACCGAGCGCCCACCGGGCGAGGGGCTGCGGGGTGTAGGTGGGGTTGGGGGGCCACGCCAGGGATCTTTGCTCCTTGCTCTGATGAAAGCCACCTCTTTCCCCAGCACCCTGGACATCTTCCCTACGCTGGTGGCCCTGGCTGGGGCGGCGCTTCCCCCCAACAGGCGCTTTGACGGCTTGGACGTGTCCCCGGTTCTCTTCGGGTGGTCGGACGTGGGGCACAAGGTAAGGCAGAGCCACCCACCCTGGTGACATCCCCCTCTGGACGGCAGGTCCCACCACCTCTGAGATAAAACAGGTAAGAGGGGGGCAGAAAGGCTCAGAGCTGGCGACCTGCGGACCCGTGGGAGCATCAGCCCCCCCCGTCCGGAGGAGGACAGCCGGAGACGGCCGGGTGCTGTGCCAAGGCTGGGCTTTGGGGTACTTAGGTAAAAGGGCTTTTGGATTAGCAAAGACTTGTTTTAGCTAAGAGAAATGCTTTGTCCCTAAATCTGGGATTATAGGTGAAAGAGCCTATGGGTGCAGCCCGGCGTGCTTTCCCGGGGAACGCCATCCCGGGGGATGCTCGGGCTCGCCTGCCCGCACGGCAGCCCCGCGGTGCCCAGCACGGCGTCTCCTCGCCGATCGCAAGGGGTGCGCCAGCGTGGGAAACAACAGACCCCTGGGGCTCGGACCTGGCTGTATCCACTTTATTTATCTTGCCAGATCTTGCCATAACGAAGCCCTCCTCCTCCTCCAGCCCCTTGGCTGGGGAAGGTGCCTGTTACTGATGTCCGAGCGGGGCAGCCCGTCCGTACCCTGCAGCTCTGCCCGTACAAACGGAGCTGCTGACATCTCCTTTAAGCTTAAAAACCACAGTTAGCAGAACAAGCAGTATGGCGATGCAATTTTTTTCAGATTTACACAAGATTTTTGCAGAACCAAAAGAAAAAAAAAGGAAAAGATTGGCTCTAGTAGCAGTCCCGCAGATAAAGCCTGACTTTGCTTTTAAAGCCCACCCTCCTGCGAGCACCACGAGCCAGCTCCCAGCGGGAATCTTGGATTTCCTTTCTGCGTCCATCAGGGTTTTGGTATTTGCTTCGTATTTATGGAACCCTCTGTTGAACTGTGAGATAAAGCGGGGAAGCGGATGGGATGCGGCCAGCGTGCCGCGCTCTGCTCCTTGGGATTAACCCTCTTCTCCTGCCCACGTGGCGCCGGGAGTGGGGGACCAGTGGTTTGCTGGGAGCGATGGTTTGCTGGGAGCAATGGTTTGCTGGGAGCAGTGGTTTGCATGGGGCGATGGTTTGCTGAGAGCAATGGTTTGCTGGGAGCATTGCAGGGAGTGATGGTTTGCAGGGAGTGATGGTTTGCAGGGAGTGATGGTTTGCTGGGAGTGATGGTTTGCTGGGAGTGATGGTTTGCTGGGAGTGATGGTTTGCTGGGAGCGATGGTTTGCAGGGAGTGATGGTTTGCTGGGAGCGATGGTTTGCAGGGGGTGATGGTTTGCTGGGAGTGATGGTTTGCTGGGAGTGATGGTTTGCTGGGAGCGGCGGTTTGCTGGGAGCATTGCTGGGAGCAATGGTTTGCTGGGAGCGATGGTTTGTTGAGAGTGATGGTTTGCTGAGAGTGATGGTTTGCAGGGAGCGATGGTTTGCTGGGAGCATTGCTGGGAGCAATGGTTTGCTGGGAGCGATGGTTTGTTGAGAGTGATGGTTTGCTGAGAGTGATGGTTTGCAGGGAGCGATGGTTTGCTGGGAGCATTGCTGGGAGCAATGGTTTGCTGGGAGCGATGGCTTGCTGGGAGCGATGGCTTGCTGGGGGTGATGGTTTGCTGGGAGCAATGGTTTGCTGGGTGTCAGGGCGCGGTGGAGGGGCACAAGCCGGTGCCAGCCATGCCTGCGTGTTTCAGAGCGAGGTATAAAGTCCTGAGCTGCGATGCACCGCCAGCTCCCCGGCCTTCCCCAGTATCGCCCTGGCCCAGTGCTTTTTTGGGGGGTGGGGGGTTGTGCTGCACTCAGGGGCGAATTCACCCCTGCGGGGCTGGGAGCCGGGGGGCACAGCCAGGTCGTTCCTGCCCATCCTGGCCAGCACGCAGGGGGTGGGCATCCCCAGGGGATGCGATCCAGCTGCTCCCGCTGCCGCGGGCCAGGGTGACCTTGGAGGGGACGCACAGCACCCGCCTGCCCCAGCCCCGCGGGGTGGCCGGGAGCGAGCGCGTGTCCCCGCTCCCTCCCCTCTTGGCTCTCTGCCTTTCGTCTCCCACTTGCAAGCGGCTGATAGCAGCCCCCGCTTTGATGTTGCAGGGTTTTTCCTTGACACAAACCCTCCCGAAAGCGGTTCCTTTGCTCGTCCCACCGCCCAGTTTCCTCACATCACCCCCAGCCGCTTTCCCAACCGGGGTCCCTCGGCGGGCGCGGCGCCCCCCCGGTGCG